AGGACCCGGATTGTTGTTGGGGGCGATATGCTGACTCTGTAAACCGCTTAGAGAGGGCTGAAAGCCCTATGAAGCGGTATATAAGTCTAACTATTAACTATTGCTATTTAGTCTGGACACTCCTTGGCCCGCCCCCTCCCCCTGCACACACAGGGCCAAGGAGTGTCCTTTCCCTGCAAGGATCCCTGTAAGATGAGCAGAGAAGAGTCCTCCATGAAAGGGGCAACAGCCCCCCCACTCTCCTTTTCTCTTGCCCATCTCCCAAGATTCTCAATAGATCGGGATCTCCTGTGTTCTTTCCCTAACCAAGTTATTAAAAGATCTGCAACTAATCCACTGCCAGTCAAAGGTGGATCCTAAAAAATGGTGTCTCAGAGGGAAGGCTTGGGATTCTCCTCCGCTGCCCCCACCCCTCCCATTGTTTACCTGGCCTCCCAGGTGAGGGATCCTCCTTGCAGCCACTTCTAGAATACAATCCAGAAAATACCGGGAGTTCGTACAAGGCTCAGACAAGGATTAATAATGCTTTGTTTTCTTCCGCAACCAGAGGTACGCAACTACATCTGTGATGAATGCGGCCAGACATTCAAACAGCGCAAACACCTGTCTGTCCACCAGATGCGCCACTCAGGAGCAAAGCCGCTTCAGTAAGTGCTGGTGCCGGTTCAGGAGTCTTCCTGGAGCTGCAGTTGGGAGCTTCCGGCCACAGGACGAGCTCTGGCTGCACTTACACCGCTCTCCCCCCCCCAACCCCGATCTCCCCCCCTCTCTCATCCTCTCCCTCCCTCCCCCGCTCAGTCTCTTAAGATGGTTTGTATGCCTCGTATGTCCTCCAGTAGGAATCCGGCTTCCCTTAGCGCAGTGGTTCCCAAACTTGGCAACTTTAAGACTTGTGGACTTCAACTTCCAGAATTCTCCAGCCAGCTCCGCTGGCTGGAGAATTCTGGGAGTTGAAGTCCACAAGTCTTAAAGTTACCAAGTTTGGGAACCACTGCCTTAGCGCAAGTATCACTGTCCCGCAGGTGATTCCCCCCACCCTTTTTGAATAGTTGATGTGGAATCTGGACTCTCTTTCAGTTCTGGTTCCAAGACCAGCTAGAATGTGAAGATCTGAGGACGTGTTTTTACTCACCTCTGCACAGCTGCGTAAAAGCCGCTCCGCCTTGTCCCTTTCTCTGCTCTGCTTTCCGCCTCCAGGTGCGAGATCTGCGGCTTCCAGTGCCGGCAGAGGGCTTCCCTCAAGTACCACATGACCAAACACAAAGCAGAGGCAGAGCTGGAGTTTGCGTGTGACCAGTGCGGGAAGCGCTTTGAGAAGGCCCACAACCTCAACGTCCACATGTCCATGGTGCACCCCCTGACCCAGACGCAGCAGGAGAAAGCCAAGGTCGGGGAGCCGGAGCCCCGGGCGCTGCTGGACACTGTGGAGGGGGGCCAGCCTATCAAGGAGGAGATGAGCGTCCAGCAGGAGCCCACCTGAAAACGCCCTGGCGCAGCTTTGCATCGGTCGCACAGGACAGGAGGTGGGCTCTTCGGAAGAGGCCCAGGGAAGCGTGGACGGCGGCTGCAGCGGCATCCTACGGAGAAGCCTCCCCTTTGCCAAAAGGTCCACCTGCCCTTCCCACTGGCGATGATCGGAAGGCATCGCACGCCAACAGCCCACAAGACCCCCATAAATCCCCTGTGACGGATCTCAAAAAATGATGATGGGAGACTTGAATCCAGATGTTTTACATTAAATTCCAAAGCCAAGCTCAAAACGAAGAACAGGACATTTGTAACCTAATTTTTATTGTTCAAAGTCATAATTATGCTTGTAATAAATTATTTACACAGTACGCTGCACAGATCCGGCTTCAAGGTACATATTTAATTTGTCCATCTTTGGCTGGGGGGGAGGGGGAAGGGTTGTTGCAGAAACTCGCTCGAGGCCTGGTTGGAGGGGGGTCTTTGGCCTTCAGAAAAGCAGTTCTTCCTCTAGCAAATCCTCACCTGATTGAGTGCTGATGAGGGCTGCCTTGAGCTCTGGGTCCAGATCCCCACAGAGGTCCAACATCTGGGAAGGGAAAGTGGTGCTGAGGTGGCTCTGGCCTTAAAGCAAAGCCTTTAGCAGAGGGGGGGGGGGCTGGTTCTCTTTTGGGAGGAAAGAACGGCCCTTGAGTGGTGTCTCCTCCAAAGCCGCCTCCGAGTCCTCCATTTTCCAATCACTATAGAGCAGAGCAGTCCGGCTGTGCCAGAGCGGCAAAGCAGGCCACCCTCCCTTAGGAGGAGGGATGAAAAGCCTGTCTAGCTAGCCCTTAGGGCCTGCTCTGGCCGACAGAGGCTTTGCAACCGGCTTCCTTTTAACTAGAGAAGGCCGAGACTCCACCGACACCGTCCGATGCCTCTCGTCCCCCAAACTGCCTTTGCAGACAGCGACTGTCGTCCCAGGAAGGGATGAAGAGGAGAGAGGTCAGCAGGACATGCAAAGAAGGGGGATTCAGGTGGGATTCCTGGGTGGGAAAGACGGGAACTCCCTCCTGGGCCCACATCTGTCCTTCCAGTTTGCTGGAGCCGACGGAGGCCTGCTGTCAAGGTCGTCTCTGCAGGGCTGCAAAGCTCCAGCGAAGGCTGGATTTGAAATCCGTGCAGCCCCAGTGAAATTTATTGGGAGAACTTTGTAAACACGTATGGTCCAGATTAGAGCAGGAAGTGCTGCCCTCGACACTCGGGAAGGCTGAACAGAAGCAGGGCCAGCTTCTAGGCCGCCGTGCCTTCTGGATGTCCATGTGGGCACTCACCTCTTGGAGGTTGGAGAAGCTCCCTGGAGGAGACCGTGGAATTGCCCGGAGTAGGAGTTGCCGCGCTTGCTGGATCAGCAGTAATGAATCTCCCTAGAGAAGAGAGACGAAGTTCAAACCTGCTTTGTGAGATTCAGGGAGAGCAGCTGGGTGATGCTTTTCCTTCTCCGCCCACCCTCTGTGCCCGGCCTTGTTTAAGTCCTTCCTTGGGAAGGGGGCAATTGCGTCACGTTTAAAAGGACTGACTGTCTTATTCTTCTGCAGGCATCCCGTTGGCTAGCTTTCTGCCGCTGTTTTCAAGCTTTCCCCGGCCTGTGTGTTCGGACTGCCCTCCCCAGCATTTGGCCAGGCTGGCTGGGAATTCTGGGAGTAGCAATCCCAGCACATCCTTCCTGTGAGGCAGGGGTGCTTTCGACATTTTATAGTTTCTGCATTTTACAGTCAACACAGAAATGCAAAATTATTTGCAACAGCTGCATTCCCTTGGGATGCAGCAGCCCCCCCTCCTCTCGTGATAACGCACCCAAATGCGCATCAGGGCCACTCGAGCCCAGTTTGGGGTGCTGCCCAGGCGAGCCGGTTGCTTCCCAGTTACTGGATAGTGGCGTCCCACCCATCCAGTAGATCAGCCATGGGTGCCAAGGAAAAGGCCAGAAGGGGAGGGGGAGAATGCTGAAGGGCAAACCCTTCAGCCTGTGTGCTCACGAGATTGCAGATGTGCAGACTTTGCTCCTTCTGGCTCAGCGCAACCACCGGGGCCCCTTCCGTGAAGAGCTGGAGCAGTTGTGTGTACATGTCAACCGCCACAGGCAGGAATGTTTGCTCTCTGATAAGCTCTTCCCCATCGAAGGCCAGCAGCAGGCTGGGGGGAAGCGGCAGATGTTAAGCAGGCAGCAAAGCCCTTCAGGGCATCTCGGCATTGCCCGGAAGGAAGAGAGGAACGAGGCAGGCAGAGATCCAGCTGAGAAAGAGACCCCTCCGCATGCAGCCCAGGACTGAGGACATTTGACCAGCTGTCCCAGCACAGCAGCAAAGGGAAGCTGAACTTAGCCCCAAAGGTTAGGTTGCTGTCCAAGGAAAGGCTTCAGCCCCCCCCTCCAGAAAGCCCCCCCCCTCTGCCAGCCTCAGGGAGGCAACAGCCCCGCCCCCCCAGTCAGAGTGAGATGGGGGGGGTGCTCTTGGGATGAAGAAGGAAAGCCTTTTTCTCCCTCCTTTTGCAAGCGATGGCAACAGTTGTGGAGCAAACGGCCTTGCCAGGCTCCTCCTGCCCTCCTGCTCCCTGAAGCCCACCTCCTTGTGCACGAAGAGCCCCGGGGCCTGAGGTTCACCTGTAGAAGGCGACCGGCAGCATCTTCAGGTGCTGATCGGACACAGCGTCGCGCAGGGTCTCATAAAGCTCAGAGCCTGCAAAGCCAAAGGGAAGGAAGGCTTGTTTTCCAGAGCAACCTTGTCGGTCCGGCCCGGAGGCTGAAGCCCAGGGCAGTTTCTGCACCTTTTCCTGCCGGACAGAAGACAGCCAGCCAGGCAGGCCCTTCTTCCACCAAGCGCTGAAGCACCCGGGAGCTCCAGTCCAAAACCTTCTGGGCCTCCGTTCCTTCCTGGAAAAAAGAGGTCAGAGGAAGGACATTCCTATTTCTGGATTCTTGCCAGGGAGACTGTGTGGCTTTAAACACATCCCAGCCTCCCTTGTTCCCCATCTCCAACCAGAGCTTCTTCAAAGCCGCCTCCTGCGAGTGGCCTCCAGCCAGTCTGCCCAGGGGATCTAAAAGGATCCAGGTGGCGTTTGAGATCCCGGTCCAAAGGAGGCTTCGGGGTTTGCACCTGCAGCTCTTGAAAGCAGCTCAAGCGGTTCGAGGCAAGGCAGAGCCGCCAGGTGTGCAAAGGTGGAGCCACGGTGGGCCTTTCCCAATCCCATCCACCCGGGTGAGAACAGAACTCGCCTGTGGAGCCACTTTTGCCGAGATGAGATCCATGACGGAAAAGAAGAGGACGTAGATCAGGAACTGCCCGTTTGAGAACCGCAAACAAAAAGAGCCACAGAGTTATCGGCCTGAAGCTGGAGCCCCGAGTCCCTCCGCCCGACCGCCAGAGACCAAGTCCAGGCTTCCCTCCTTAGAACTTCTGCCTTGGCCGGAACTTCCCTGCGCAGGGGAAGCTGAAAGGGCTCACCTGCTCTGCTTTCGGCCCCAGCCTTCCCAGCACGGCTCCCTGTTCTTCAAGATCCACTTGCTGCTGGACGGAGAAGTGGAGGAAAGCAGCGGAGACCCAGGCCCTGTTGGAGGGCAGGGAAGTTGCCCCCGATGCCAGGCAGCTGGGAGGCGAAGGCAGAGAGTCAGTGGGAGGGGAGCCCAGCCGATCCTAAGAACTGACCGCTGGTGGCTCCACGGCCCCTCAGCAGGCCACGGCCCAGCTGGGCTTCTGCTCTCCAAGCGTCCCAGGAAGGCACCTCTCAGGTGGCCTCTCCTCCTGAAGGAAAAGGGAGGCAGGGAAAGGATCCCGGCCCCCGGATCAGGCAGGGACAATGAGTTTGCAATAGCCTGCTTCTAGTGCTGCAGCCCTGAGAAAGCCCCTGCACCAGAGGTCAGGCACTGGAGGAGGAGGGGCAGCTGATAAAGGGCATCAGACCCATTGAAATAAGGGCCTGTTACAGGTAAGGCCACACGAGGGCAGGTAGAGCTCACGGGACCGAGGGAAGAGCCAAAAGGAGCTGGAATGACCAGCTCTTCGCTGGGGCAACAGGCGTGAGCCCCTCGGAGAAGCCCCCCAGCTGCACCCACCCAGCTCCTTGCACTCACCTCTGGATAGAAGACCGTAAATCCTTGAGGCTTTGCAGCCCCTGAGCCAAAGGACCATCGAAGAGTCTCTTCCACTGGGAGCAAAGCACAGGCTCCAGCCGCGGCCACCATCGCTGGAGGGAGGCAAAGGGAAGGCAGACAGTCACCAAATACGGAAATGGGCAACTTCGGGCTGGAGCTTCCTGGAGGATCTCTGTCCGGGGGCTCCACGGACCCTCACCCTCCCTCTCCTTACGGTGCTATGGCAACAGTGTGTCCCCCCCCCCCAATCTCTTGGGCCCCCAAGCCCACAACCAGCCCCTTTTCAAGCCTTCTGGGGCAGCCAGAGAGAACCAAACACTACTGAGGTTTTCATTAAAACAGGCTCTGCATCCCTGAAGCACCTTTGAGAAAAATTAGAAGGAAGCCTCCATCGTTGCCTTCAACCAAACTGAGGTGGTGGTTATTGGGGCTTCGTTCCCCCAGGGCTGCCCCTCCTTTTTCACCTTCAAAGTCTACCTCCAAATCCACCGACGGAGCTGATGGGGCTCCCTGAACCGCCAGTCAACGGAGCCGCCCGGAATCCTTTCTAAAGAGCGTGTCAGAAATGAGGGGGTGGGGAAAGGCCTCTTACCGCAGCAGAAGAGAGGAGGATGGGACACCTGGCTTGGCACGAAGAGAGCACGGCTGTCACCTCTTGGGCAGGGCGGCTGCACTCCACACTGGCGCTCAGGAGGCCCTGAAGAACAGCAGGCCCCCTCAGCGTGCAGGAACTCCAAGGGACCCACCCCACCCCAAGGGGGCCACAAAGAAGCCAATCTCGGCCCCGCAGCCACCAGCACCATCTAAAAGACTTCGCTGCCTGATTCCCAATGACTTTAAAGCACGTCCAACCCACAGAAAGTGAGGCCACCCGCTTCCCCCATCCTTCAGGGCAGCCCCCCTCCAGCTGCGGCCCCTGCTGAAGCCAGGGGGAAAGGGAGCCGCCTAGAGCAGCCACCACCCCCTTCCCTTCGTTCCGGCTGTTCCACACCCTGACACAACTCCAGGAGAGCCCTCAGCGCCCCCGACCACTTCCAGGAACCCCCAACGGCTTCTCTTCCGTCGCCCCATGGTAAGAGAGAGCAGGAGAAGGCGGCTCATCTCTTGGGGTCTCTGCAGACCAAGGACGCCTCCCTTGCTGGGCAGCATGGGGCAGCTGAGGCCTGTCAGCCCAGGGACCCCGTGGGGTGAAAGAACAAGCCGCCTCTGGTCTCCTTTACCCGGAAGAAATGTGCGGTGATGTCGAAAGGCAGAGAGCATCCTCTGGAGCAGCCGTTCCTCTGCAACGACATCCGGTGGGAAGAAGAGGTGAGGGGAACCTTCCCAGGGAACCCAGCTCAGCCATTCAAAGCTACTAGGCACTTGACAAGTTACTTGTCCTCAAAGTTGGCTGCCACACCACCCCTGCGGTCATGCCAACGCATCTCCAGCACATGGCAACCGGTTCCCATCACAGGATGGTTTTGCGCAAGGGGGTTGGGGGGGCGCCCAAAATTTTAGCGAGGGGTTCTCTGCCCGGTTGCTGGGTGGATGTGGCCATGGTGGGCCTAGTCAGCCTCCTGAACCATGGCAGGGCGGGGGGGCGTTTGACCTTTTTGCCCTCCGTGGGCTCTGGAAGCTTTCCTCGAGCCTCCGGGAGGGTGAAAATGGCCTCCCCAGGCTCCAGAGGGCCTCGTTTTCACCCTCCCCAAGGCTCCACCTGCGCCCTGCACTTACCTGTATCCAAAACGGGCCACGTGGGGACTCCTGGGAGGGGAGGGGCTGGGTGGGCGGGGCCAGCCAGGAGTGGGATTTGGGGGTTCTCCGAACTGCACAGAATCTTAGCTAGAGGGTCTCTAGCAAACCCCCAGCAGCCCAGCAGAAACCGCTCGTTGGAGAAAGCGGATTCAGACTCATGACCAAAATTCTGGACACAAGTCGAAGGCCACCTGCACTCCAGGTGCTTCTGCTACTTAATAATCCCCAACAAAACCCCACAGGCCTGAAGTGCCCATTTGTCCCTCTTTCCCGCAGGCCCCCCGTGTCCGTCAGGAGTGGCCCAGGTTGCCTCAACCCCCCCGCCTCCCCCAGGCGGCAGAAGAGGCCGCTTGGGAGGTTGTTCCCAGGGCCTCTGCTGGGTTCCAGGAAGTGATACGCACCAGTTCTGCGTTTACAAAAGAGAAAAAGCCTCCACAGGCCACCACGATTTCCCCTCCTCTCTTCTGCGTCGCTACAAGGACGGATGGAGGGAGGCTCAAGAGGATCCTGGGGAAACAGCAGACGCCCCTCAGGAGAAGCCCAGCCCGGCTCGGCCTCCCTGCCCCCATCAGCCCGTACGTACGTGGGGGGAGGCAGCAGGTGAGTCCCCCTCCCTTGTACTCACCTGGTTTGGGAGAGGAGCTCCCGCTGCCGGAGCAGCCGGTCCCCCAGAGCAGCCCCGGTGGTCCCCAGGGCCCTCAGCCTCTCCTGGAAGACCTGGAACAGGAAGTGCTCTTCCGGCCGGCCTCTCCTGCGCTCCAGCTCCAGCTCCAGCACCAGCTCCTGAAATCAAGGCAGGCCTCTGAAGGCCTCCTCTCCTCCACAGCCCCGGGGGGAGCAAGGCCAGTGGGAGAGGAGAGCCAGTCCCTGCCCACGTGCCCAGGAGGCTGATAGGCCAGCCTAACAACGGGCTGAAGGACCACCACCCAGAACAAAATCCTGACAGCCACTGCTGGCATTCTTATTCAGGGAACTCTGCGCTCTCTGGAAGAGGAAGGAAGGGGGGGGGAGGAAGGAGGACTGTTCCAACCAGGCTGAAAGCAAAAGCAATAGCAATAGCAGTTAGACTTATATACCGCTTCATAGGGCTTTCAGCCCCCTCTAAGCGGTTTACAGAGTC